GCACAAACTGGGCGTCATCAGGACGCTGCAACATAGAGGGAACACCATCCCAACAGACTCAGCAGCCAGCGAAGCAGAAGAACATCGCTTCAAGAAGGCCCTGAGTAAATGTGGTTATCCCAGCTGGACATTTGTCAGAGCACCTAAAGAAAGCTCCAGCTGATCCAGGAGAGAAGGGCAACCGCGGCTTAAGCGAAAACTTGTGGTCATCCTGTATGTGTCAGGAGTATCGGAACAGCTGAGACGCATTTTCTCTAAACACTGCATCCGTGGCTTTTAAACCCCAAAACACGCTGAGCCAAAAATTGGTCCACCCCAAGGATCAGGTCCCCTGACACAAACAGAGTAATATACTGTACGCTGTTAAGGAGGATTGCCAGGATTTATACATTGGGGAAGCCAAACAACCTCTGGCTAAGTCGATGGCACAACACAGAATAAGTAACTCGTCAGGCAAGGTCATTGATCAGTGGTTGTTGATCAATGGTCATGACAATTTGCTTACTAATGATCAAGAAACAGACCTCACAGCCCATTGTTCATTCAGTGGTGCTAGTTTAAGTCATTATGCAAATCTACTGTATATAAGGTTGGAAACCTGCAGTCAGCTGAGACTGAAGAAGTCACTTGGATCAGTGGCGAAACATTTCTCCCACTGAAAACGCTACGTCCAGATGACCAGAATCAACTTTTTGGGACCACTTTATAGAGTTCCTGAAATGCTTTTATTGTGAAATAACAGCAGGGTTTTGCAGCTTTCTGCATCTAGGGTTTTTTTTTCTTTTGTTCTTATTATGAACGATTGACAATTATACATTAACCCTTTACTGTATTCACCACTATATTCTGCACTGATTTCTGGCAAAACATATCAGTCTCATCAGCAGCTAAACACTCCACTACAATCAGCTGATGCTGTAGCTTCTTCGGAGAAAACAGCTGCCTGAGGACTTTGCCTGTCAGGAACCCAGAACACTGAGCTGAATGGGCCTTTAAGGCTGAGATAATAATTCTGGGATTAAACAGAAGAAGAAAAATAAATAAAACAAAAAAAACCTTAAAAAGGCAGAGGATGCTTTACTTTACCTGCTTTATTTGTTTTACCTGTAACTGTGAGATGGTGAGAGGGTAACGATAGAGAATCCAGGTCACATTCTCACTACAAGGTGGTGTAGTCAGAGATCCTTCATACACCCAGTAGTCTCTCAGTAATGGATCTGTGGGCAGGTTTTGTGGA